GGTTGAAAGTTATGTAGATGAAGCTTTTAAGGAGTTTAATGTAAATAAAGAAGAGAGAAAAAACAAGAAATAAAGACACTCTCCGAAAAGTGGATACTAAAAGCTTAAGGACTGAAGCTCATCGGTCAAAGTGGAACTGGGCTGGACACATGGCGAGGTTGGAGGATGAAAGATGGTCCAAAGCATGTACCGAGTGGATCCCAAGAGAGAATAAGAGGAAAAGAAGACGGCTGCATCTTGCGGGATGAAATGATACAACATGTAGGCGAAAACTGATGGCTTGTGGCTAGGGATAGATACAGATGGAAACAAGATATAAGCAATATTTAGTTGCTGTGTTTCGTTTTATGATTTTCTGTTTGTCTTTTAATAACCGTGTGCTTCCATGACAGTTCTGTTCACTGTATGGCTTTGTTTTGTTTGGTTTTTCTTAGGCCTTACTATTTTACAACAACAAAAAATATATCTGTTTTGTTTTATTTTAAATATGTAAAAAAAATTATTGTAATAATTTAAACATATTTTTCTGTGCTGCAGCCAACTCCGTTAAAATCTTACTTAGGGAGAGGCTTTTGTCAATAATTGATGTCAATAAAGCTTATTATTATTTTTAGGGGATATACTTTCAGATGTACTTCATCACCTTGACAGATTGTTAAGGAAAATGACGTTAACGAACTTTGTGTAGTAGTCGGGTGTCTTCCATCCCCTTAAACGAAACTTAAGACTCAATACTAGAGTAGTGGCGTAGATAACGCCAACCGATGCGGCGCATGAATGCCGTATAGAAGGTGCAATACTTAAACAGACATACTAGAAAACATTTCAACGAAATAAAAAAAAAAAAAATTAAACTAATATATTTATCTATAGTAAAATTTTTAAAGCTTTAATTTCATAAAAACTATTCAAATGATTATAAGTCATCATCATAAAAATGTATCACTTCTAAACGTACTACAAGCCTTACACACTCACAATGTTTCGTGGAGTTGATCATCAATGTAAGACAAATCCCAACACATTACTTTCATTCTCCGACATGAAACTTGCCCTTATCCTTAAACAGATAAAGTATAATCTTGGACTGACATTTAACAGAAGAATGTCATGGGCCTACATATCAACAAATAAAAAAAAAAACGTTAAGCCTTAAACTACGGCTATTATATATCTTTCAACACGCTCAAAATTTAACCTAAAATATTGCGTAGGCTTCACAGATATACGGAATAGCCAAAACGACCCACCTACGAAAACTACAAAAATGTAGTCAACAACTTTCAGGACTATCTCTTAAGTTCGACGGTATTTGCGTCACAAACATTAAGAACTTCACACGGACATACTGACACACTCATACAAGAAATGGCTTCAATTAACATGCCTTAAAACACTTTTGGAAGGATTAAAGTATACTAAAATCATGACAGGAATGGATACCGCTGGGCACTCTTCTCCCTCAAGCCCACCAATGTTACTACTACTATACTTTCCGTCAGGGAATCACTGATTGTCAGTTCTTTTGACAGGTGTTAGTGCAAAAATCAAAGTTTAAAAAAATTATAATATAAGTCACTATCGTAAAAATTTATCACGTCTTAATATACTACAAGACTTTAACTTACAATGTTACTTTAAATATTTGTTGGTGTATTGAGTTGCATTAAGTAAATCCATCCTAACGGAATGCATTTGCATGTCTACTTAAAAAGATTGGCGTATTGATAGAGAAATTGACACCTTCTCATATCTTAATTTGGTGTAGTATGTCGTTGCTTCCCATCTCCAAACGAAATTCGTGACTCTTTTGGATGTTTAATGGAACGATAAAGGAGGAAATCTGCTTACTCAAATCCGTTATGTTAAGTGAAAGGCACTCGACTACTACAAGTTTTAATGTTCGTAGATGTCAATTTCCCTAACAATCTACCGAGGTGTTTAAGTAGATTTGCAAGTACACACCCTTAGGATGGATAGGAAATTTCGATTTCTGTAGGATCCTGCAATATAGATGGTTGATCTCACTGGATAATTTAGACCAACATAAAAATTGGTCCAGCTACACGCTCAAAAAATCGTTACATGCCTTTTAGTCTTTTAATTCAATATATCTATACAATATTTTATTTATTATTTTGAACTGAAATTGTTTCAAAACACTCTCGGAATCTCACTGATTGTTAATAAGTTTGAACCACCATACTTACAAATTGGTCCAGTAATTCGCTCAAGAAATTGTTCCATACCTACACGCGGTCAATCCAAATATATTAGCCCTCCTTGCGGCAACTTCGCAGTCGAGCTTAAAAAAATACATAACACACTGCTGATATGTGTTGCTAATTTTTTATGGGATATTTAATAACTGATCTTCATAACTTTCCGCTGCTGTAACAAATCTACAATTCGAAAGAGTGTTAAAGTCACTATGAGAAAAACTTGTTTTTTTATCTTCACAATTCAAACATTTTAATTTTTAACCTGTGCTGGAAATATTATTTTCATAATTTTCTTAACTACGTGAATACATGAAGAGGCATCTAATAAATTTTCAACCTAGGATATTAAACGTAATCTACTCCACTATTCAGTCGTTGCATTCTCACTAAATCGATTACTATGTGTTAAAGGTCATGAGAATATTCTCGGCCGCGAATGAGTTAGTAGATTGGCTAAAACAGCATAAAACAATAGCTTAATATCCATCGAATAATTAGCCGTGCAGAAGACTTTCACTATAAGGTTAAACTTAAACTGACATTCTTCAAGACTGGAACAGATCGGTAGCAAAAATGATAAGATATTCCTTGAACTAATTTGTGCCTGACAACAGCAAAATCCGCCAGAACTCATGGAAGAAATCAAAAGCACTTATAACTAACGAAGGCGATTCAATCAGAAATTTGACATATTAAAAATTATAGAAGGTGGTTTATATTCAAGAACGGTGACTGGCGAACAGCGGCCTTACTCGAAAACCCTTTCTGTTGAAGTTTTGTTGGGGAACTATTGTTCTTTAATTACTAAAATATAATAATACAAATACACCCCAGTGAAAACACATTCATTAGGCCCCACCGAACTGCAGCGTTTGACAAATCCTTTATAATTCAAGCCGTCTCCTTCTGGAATACCATCCCTCCCGATATCCGACATGTATAATCAGTTTCCTCATTTAAATCTCTCCTTTTTAACCACCTACTCCTTTCCCAACCCGATTGATCATGAAATGCAGATAAGAGAACTTTTAAAGTTCCCCAGAAATGATTTTCTTTTCTTATGCTATTTTATTTTCCCACGTTAGTATTATACATATCAGAATGTTTTTAGAGTAATAGTTCTATTTTTTGTTTTATTATTTTTTCAAAATCTTAATCTTAATAATAAATGTAAATAATTAATTTTATGTATGGCCACACAGGCATTTATTCTGTATCTTTAATTTGTCCTAAAGGGACAACAGTCCCAGGATAATAAAAAAATATTTTCATTTCATTTCATTTCATTGTATAATTATCCATTCGACGTATAAGCGACATCAGAGAAACATGTTTGTTCAAATATAATATTATCAATATTGTATATTCAAAACACACAATTGGTTAAGCTTCATTCCATATCAGGACTGTTAATGTAGGCCATTCACTTAACAAATGATTAGCTTGGCCGATTGGAAAATATCCCTCCTTTTTATTAGTTAAGGAATAAGAAGTAACCATTCCTGAACTTACACTAATATATTACTTTACTCACTCAAGTCATATTTGTTTAGTGCAGCAGAGTCTTGATATAGAAAACAATTTCTGAGAATACTGAGCATTGACAATAGTCTTCTCATATGTAACTCATTCTTTCGCCATAAGATAAAATAAAAAATTAAAGTTTCAGCTCTTTAGAAGTCCACATTTATGATTATTTTATGAAAACGTGGAATATTACAAAAGATTAGGAGTACAGGATCATAGAGCCCAAAAGAAAATCTGCAAATTATTGATTTATATTTTGTTTCTATTAGTCAACAGATTTTTTTTATTTTGAAAAACAGATTAAAGCATATTTTAGAACTAGAATTGAGTGCACAAGTTGCTTTCTGGCCAGGACCATATTTATACTCTTTAAGTCATTATTGAAAAGGCCTGTGAAAGAGATTGAGCAAGAGGCCAAGTAAGGTAATAACTAATAAGAAATGGGGTAATGAGAATAGAACCGGAGATTCCATAGTTAAAGTCGAGAACTGAAAGACAACTTTGCTGATGTGGACATTGTGTTGAATCAAAGAGGACAGGGTACAAAGAACGCTAAGGGAAACAAAGACATTAGACAAGAAGCAGAACTGTTTGAACATACATTGACCATATTCAAATGTTGGGAACGAAATAATCCAGAAACATTCCTTAATTTGATTAATTTAAAGTATTCTAAGCTAACAATAGCCAATGAAAAGGCCACGTTTCAAATCACAATACGTTAAGTTATTGTTGAAAAAAAAAAATTTCAATTGCGAACTAAGGTTATGTTCAGGTAGCAGAGCTATTTTAATTTTCATCCTAATAAAATGTTATTATATGTTTATTAGCTTATAATTCAACAGTGTGCATGATTACGTGCACAAAAAGCTTGATCTTCTTACTGAATCTTGGTAAATTATATTTTTCATTGTTTAGTTAGTAACTTTGAATATGGATATGTTTGGAGTTACTAAATAGATGACGTATAGAGTTTTAAATTTTGGCTATTAAATTAATAATAAAAAATCGACGTTATATCTTGATTGTATACTGAATTTTTATAGCTAATGATAATATTAATCCTAAAAATCAAACCAAATATCAATATTATATATCTGTTAAACATTGAAAATTTATCAATGAAAAGTACTGAATTTTTACGATCAAAACGCGCTAGGTAACGGTTTAACTCTAGAAGCTAATTCTACTTGTCTGAGAGTCTTAACCTTCTCATGGTTTCTACCTCTAAGTTTTAGGCTTTATAAAGTGAAGATATCCTTCCGAAACGAACAGGATAATTATTGCTGTTTAAGGCTTAATAAAACCATTTTAAATGACTGTTCTTAGCTGACCTATTTCTAATATTAACTTTATCATGGTAAGTTACTTGCCGGTTAGAGCTATTTCTATAAGGCTCTGCTTTGCATTGCATAAATACTTTCACCTCAACCTATTTACTATTGGTTGGATAAATGTTAAAAGAGGAATCCTTGTCACATTGTTGTGAAATTTAGGATCATTAAGAAAAACTTTGCAAGTTTGGATTATTTAAGATTATAAAGGGAAGGGAATTTAAAAACATCTGAGGATGACCTGGAATACTTGTGTGACATCTTTTGGATTGTTGTTCTATAATAAATGGTTTAATGATTATAACTATTCCAAAAATATATTTGTCTGTATATGTGTTTATTTATTATCTTTTAATAGTCTTGGATCCTTAAAATAATCTCTACTTAGTTGTATAGAGCATAAGTCTTCGTTGTCTTTCAATTTTTATGAAATCGAAATAGGAATGAAAAATATCATTTTTGTTACATGTAGATAAATATATGGTTATTCTATACTGAAATTAACTTTAATATACTCTAATTGTGCCTGCTGATACAATCAGTGTTATTGAATTAATGTTCATAAGAGCTTTTTTAAGTATAACTTTTTGGAAGTTCCAGTCGGCTCTACAAATAATATTATATTGGTCTTTATTTCAGGCTTTATTAGGTGCTCAGTTGGTGATAACACTAGTGATGGTCAGCATCATACAGAAGATAGGAAAGCATTATTCTCTTGCAAGAGGATTAATATGTTCAACAGGGTGGGGTTAACTATTAGTTTTTATTATTATTATTTGTTTTGAGAAAGAGTGAGTTAGCTTTTCTAAAAGCAATCTTTAAGTTTTTATGTATTATTTGTATACTCGTTATATATTAGACAAACAGTAAACATAATCAATTTGTTATGAAATTGAGTTATATTTAATTCAAATCTGTCTCTAACCTGTCTTTCATCTGTATATGTTATTAGTAAAATTAATCTACTCCTTGCTTCTATTTTTCCCTTAGAAAATGATTTACACACACCCTGAACCTTTGCCTTGTTAAAAATTACCTAAAGCTTTGAGCATCTTTTGACTAACAATCATGATTTTTATCCTGAAGATCATTAAGGCTTTTCATCATGATCTTAGATTATATGATTTGTCAATAACTAGACTAACCATATCTCCCTCCCTCTCCCCATAATAATAATTATTTCTGGTAGTCTGTCTGAAGAAATTGAGACAAAATTAGAATGATTGATAAATTATTTTGTGAGATGACTTCTTTTAATCACTTCACACTCTTGTACCTCTGGCTGGTGTACTGAAGCAAGAATTTAACTTATTCTGCTGCCTTATTTATTCTTTTCTGCAACCCTTTACTTTGTAGCTTCTAACCACTCCCTGATATAAAATCAAAACTTATGCAGTTTTTTAAAAAAAATTAAAACTGCTTTCCTTAGTGTACTTTTTCCTATTCTACAATTTCATTTATCTCTTAATGATCTTCCTATATGTCCTAATGTCACATACTCATATTTTTAAGTTATAATGTAAGACTGAATAGATCCAGAAAACATCCACATTTGTCTCATCGACAAACCCCATAAGTTTTCTATCACCAGTCAGATATCTTAAAATTATATCATTCTATATTAAATGCAAAGTCATTAAATAATTGCTTAACTTATTTTGTATTATACATTTTGTTTGTAATCTTTTCTAAATATTCTTCCTTGTAACTAATAATTATCTCATTTAATGAATCATGATTTACTCAATGTTAAAAAAACAGAACACTTGAAATTAAAAAAAAGTAAGTAGTTTCTTCAAAGCAGTTTATTACCCATCAACATTCAATTAATCTCATGTTCCCACACAGGATTGTATGGTTTACATCTCAGACTTAATTTTAAGACTTTCATTTTCTCCTGAGTGTCAAATGAATGTCATTTCTTGAAGAAATTTGTCTCTTTTACCTATAGTAAGATGCTATTTCTATTCTGAAAATAACATCTAATGACTTATCATGTAACTTTGAAGAAGAAAAGGAGTGCTATATTATCCTTTTTTCTTTTTTTCTTACCTTCACTAAATATACTAGCTATATAAATATGAAACCTGAATTTTTATATAGAAAACATGTTGATCGCATTAACATATTGTCCATTACTAGCTATGATTTTTTTTTGCTCATCTCTCTGTCAATTTATGAATACCATCCCTGAAAAACTTGATATTTTGGTTCACTAACCAGTCATCAAGCCATTTTTGTAAAAATTTTATGAAAAACGAAGGTCTGGTGAGAAAGCTGCAGGATCTAATAGTTTCCAACTTAACTTAATTGTTTCTTTCACATGCTTTCGTGTGTGTGATGGTTCATTATCATGAAACAAAATCACTTTTTGTTGTATTTTTTGGTATTCTGGTCTTTTTCTGGCAATATTTGTTGTCGATAGTCACGTTTTAGCACCTTATAACTGAGCACACTCTTTTGATACCACAAAACAGTATTTTTTCCTTAGCAACTTGTGTCCTTGCAATCGATGTTGATGGTTCGTCAGGAGTTACCCATGATCTTTGATGCTTAGGATTATCAAAATATATCCAATTTTCATCACCTGTCACAATTCGATAGAGAAATGATTTTCTTCTGTACCTGATATGCTCAAGTAGAACCCATATTCCCATCTTTTGCGTTTTTCCCATGTATTTAAAACATGGAGTCAACTGCTCATGTTACGTTCAATCCATCCATGTGTTATTGTTGGGTTTGAGTGTCATCATTCAACAATGCTGGCAATACAGTCTTTAAAATTTTGTTGTGGCCTTCCATATTCTTCATTTCTCACGTCATAATCACCACTTTTGAAACCCTTCAAAGTGCTGTGATTTACAAAAAGCTTGCTCACCATAGGCTTCAACAAGCTTTCGATGCGATTCTGCAGCAGTTTTCCTTGAATGTTAATAGAAAACTGATGCTGTCTGCAAATCATATGTTGTAAGCTCAAAACTCCTCATGTGCAACTTCATTAAAACAATACTGTTAAATGAAACTTTTATTGCTGTGAGTTAATAAAGTCTTTTCTAGGTTTTGAGAAAACATAATGATGCCACTAATGTGGCTTATCAGTAACTACATTAATTACTTAAACCACATATTCTGATTTCATATTTACATAGCAGGTATAACTTATTTACATAGCAGTTATTACCCAGATGTTTTATCATGCTTTTTTTTGGCTTTTTTTTACCTTCACTTAACTTACCTTATCTCTTTAATTTCATATATATTATAACCAGGCAGTTTGAAGTCAAATCAATTCTACAAGCTACTAATTATGGCCTAAGTAGAAATTACTGTTAATTTAAAATATTTTTCTATGGTTGGTGATGTATAGGAAACTTAGTGGTACCAATGTTTTTAAAAATCTTATGTTTAAATAGTGATTCATAAGGTATTTTATTTATAATATTTATTACGCTCAATAATACTGTATACATTAAGATTTATTTATAACAATCATATTTTAATGATGTATTTCTTAAGGATTATATTATTCCAATTAATGTGATTAATTATTTGTAAGCAATTCAAAACTTTTGTCATTTTAATATTTATTCATGAGAGGTGGAGTATCTATAAAGTAATACTAAATTTAATTTTCAGGCTTATCCGTTATCTTTATCCAACTGATGATGAACTGAGGAGCTTAGCTGGTGTGATTAAAGAAAAGCAGAAAGGGAAAAAAGATCGAAAGTACCATGAAAATGGTGTTTCAGCCAATTCAACATTCCATGTGCCTAGAAATTTAGATTTTCAGGTAGATTTCTTTTATATAATTTATATAGAACAAATATACTTATAGTTATTTATTTTTGATTTTCTATTGTATTAAATTATGTTGTAGTTGGAAAGTGCGAAAGTATCATTTCTTGATGTTGTACATTTAAGGTACTATACAGAATATCAGTGGCTACTTGATTTTTCGTTTTATTCATTTTTGGTTTATCTTGTATCAGAGGTGATTATTATGGTTTTTCTTAAGAGATTAAAAAAAAACTTTTATTAATAATATAAAAATGCTAATTTATGATTTATTTTCCAGATTTATACATATTTTTTCCCACTTGTTGATGAATTTAATTTGAGCATGTTATGGTGCTTTTTGGTTATTTTATCATCTATGTATCCTTTTTTTTATTTATTTGAAACTTTAAACTGTTTTTTATTCCAGAAATTAATAAAATTGTTATTTTATTATAATAAGTTATTTTTATCATTACCATCCTATTCAGTCATGAAAATCGAATTTGAATAGGGACATTAAATTTAATTGATGCACCAAAATTTCATATAGTTCAAAACACTTATGTTTTAGTTTTAAAGAGGATCCCAAATGAAAAAAAATTAAATTGATACTTTACAAATCCAGTAATTCTGGTATGGGAAAAGTATATTATAATTTTAAAGATTTTTTTTATGATTTATAGTGTAACGAAATAGAGAAGTTTGTTTGTTTTCATTGTTTGAATAATCCATAATCTTTGCATTCAGAAAAACACAACATGCATAGAAATATAAATTCAAGTCAAGAATAAATAATTGTTGACTGTTGTGCTAGAAGACTTGAAAAGATTTTTTCCTTAATTGATGCTTAGGAAGATGCTCCTTTATTTGACTTTGGAATATTTCAAAGCTGATGAATCGATTGGTGAAAGATCGACGGTTATTGTGACTTTTTTCAGCTATCTTATTGTAGCAATGGCCATTCTGCTTGTAGATGAAAAAACTCTCGAATCCGGTTTGGAGACGGCTTACAACAGTTTCAATGCTAGCGCTCACACGTTTTTAGAAAAAAATGGACTTAATTCAGAGTAAGTATTTTTCACTTTTCCACAAATAATGTTTATTTTGTTTTGGATTTTTTAAAAATTATATATGGATTATATAAATCCTATAACAAAAATATTTTATGTTAACTGTGCTATATATAAAATGCCTAAATATAAAAGAGATATGCTATATATAAAAGAGAAGGTGCTGTTCTAATGGATGAGGAGTATAAACTCCTCACCCAGGCTTTAATTAAGTACTAATTTTAATACATAATCATAAGTTATTATTTATTTAATTTGAATTAGTTTTATATTATATTTTATTTAATAATTTGTATTCTGTTATACAGAGGACCTGCTTCAAAACTATTTTTGAAATTTATTGTAGCTGTATGGTGTGCACTCATTGGCTCATTTTTTACTTTTCCTGGATTGAGACTTGCAAGAATGCATTGGGATTCCCTCAGGTAAAATGATTAATTAAAAGATCTATAAAATTTGTATCTACTGTTATTATAATTATATTGACTTTATTCTGTTACATTTTTAGGTATTGTGAAAGTAGAATATTGTTAAAAATAGCTCTGAACATCTCTTTTGCATCGCCATTCGTATTGGTGCTTCTGTGGGTCACACCACTTTCCAGGCATTACCTTACAAAACGAATATTTTCTGGTTTTGAAGAACCTTTGTAAGTATTTTTTTAGAGTTTAAATTTATTTTACATGTAATATAGAATACCTACGACACAATGTTTATTTGTTGTCTTTGTGCTCTTGTGTTCAATATTTATTTTGTCCTTATCATTTTTTAGTTTATCTAATTATCATTGAGTTGTATTTTTCTTATTTGATTTTATAAATTTTAATTATATTCAGAGAGAGCTGTAGTTACAATCTGTGCACTACTATAGCAACTGAATTTGAAGATAGGTGCCAAGCATTTTTTTATGATGAAATGTGTCAAAATTAAATTAATAAAAAATTGGATTGTCCTACTAAATAATTAAGACTTCTAGAATATTGACTATGGTTTTGTGACTGCATATAAACATTGAACGCCTATGTATCTCATGCTGGTATTTGTTAACTAGTTTCTTCCTGATAAATTTGTTTAAAGATGTACTACGGCTTTTAATACAAAAAAAATTATAAAATTAAGTTCAACTTAATAGTTTTTCACCTTTTTTCTTTATTTTTTTTAGACTGAGTGAAGACGCATTTGAGACTATCAGACTGTGGCTATTAGTCGTTACATCATTATTAAGAATAATTTTGATCCCTCAGTACCTTCAAGCTTACTTAAACATAGCTTATATGAGAGTAGCTGAAATGAAGAAAGAAGCTGGGAGGATTACAAACAAAGAGCTACAGAAAAAGGTATTATCTACTTATTAATGCTTATTTTATATTTATCTACATCATATAAATTTATAAATAATGCATTTGTTATATAACCTTTATTAACTCAAATTCTGATTTAGAAAATTATTCTGACATAGTTTGTTATTACAGATAGCTGCTGTTTTCTATTACATGTGTGTTGTCGCCTTGCAGTATCTAATTCCTGTTTTTTTATGCCTGTTTTATGCATTCATGTACAAAACATTGGGTATGTACTCTGAAAATTTGTCAATTATTTTTATATTTCAATTGTTATTTTTGAATCTGTTAATCAATTAGATTATTGTTATAATCTGAATTCAAATATTTATGAGCTTACTTCATACCATCTATGCCAGTACAGAAGTTGGATAGGTTTTCTGTTTAAAATAAAAACTCAGTAACTTCTAAATGAAATAAATTTTAGTGGGTTGGGATAAAATTTAGACCATAGGTTGGGAACTTATAGCATATGAACATTTGTGCAGTCTCAATATGTAAGCTTATTATTGTTTAATTTAAATATATCCTTCAGAGGTAAAAAGGTTTCCCACCTATGACATAGAAAGACTATTCTGTGACCACCATGCAGTGTTCTCTATATGTTGTGCTATCTTTGTTTTTTTAATATACTGTCAAAATAAAATCGATTTTCATCCTATTATTTTACATGATTTTTTTTAATATTTACTAAAACAGCATTTTATGAGAATGAAAAATTCAGAAATTTTAAAAAATTGACATTAGTAGGAAATTTGAATAAAAAGAAATACATTACTGCTAGTTGAATAGTATTTGATTATTAAAATACCAAATAAATTGGTAACTATTCTCTTTCTTTTGAAACTGAGACTGTAATTGTTTGATGTCCCTGCAGGAGAATTCAGCTGGATAGGAAAACCTGATACCGAATGCATGGCTCCTGATCATACTGAACCATTAAACATGGGAGATTCAGTATTGGCTTCTGCGCAGGAGTTCAGTTTGGCTTTGAATTCCCTTAAGCAGGTATAAATTTATGTTTTGTTTTTTTATTATTTGTTTTATAGCCACTAGGCTATAATGCCAATTCTATATAAAGGTTGTTACTGTGTTGTATGGATGTTATTATAGAGTGGTATTGTTTCCTTAACGTCATTCAAAAGGTAGCCATGTTATCTCTTTTGAATAATTGTTCCCTCTTTTAACTGCGCCAGCAGGGCCCTATTCATGACACATGTGCTGCAATGTAACTCATAGGAGGTTTAGAATTGGTATTCACCTGACCAGTAGTTTATAATTTTTTAATAATAAGTTTCAAGAATATTATTAAAAACCTTCAGACTTTCAAAAAATAATCTCCATATCATTTTTTCCAACCATTTATATCGTTCCCACAACCAAAACACATCTTTCACACCATGTCTATCTGTTTTCTTAAAATTACACTTATTAATTTCTTTATTTTACAAACTTTTATAGTTTAATGAATGTTTGTAAATTATTATTTTTTTTTTTTTTTTGTAATTCATCTCTACCTTTTCTTACCCAAAAATACCTTCTTTTTCTGGAAATCATCATCAAGTATATAATTAACTTGTGTGGATAGTGATTATATTGTCTATTTGTACCTTTTTTAAAAAAATAATCATCGTTATTGGAAATGGAGTAGCTCAGTGGTAGAGCGCTGAACTTCCAATGCTCAAGGTCCGTCCCAGGTTCAAATCCATCTTATAGCAGATAAATTATTTATTCTATTTCATCGGCTGTGGATCAACCTTGGGACACACCCAGCCTCTTATAAAGTGGGTACTAGTAATTAAATAATTAATTAAGGGAGAAAACATGGCGGTTGATGGTGATCTCAGTCAAATCACCACCTTGCACAACTGTTGACCAAGGAACAGTATCTTCTCTACATAGTACTGAACCCAAGACTTCTTCATGGGTCGTAGTGATACAGAATTTTTTTTTTCTTCTAATCATCATTATTGAAACATATATGTTGTCATACTTCTGTAACTATAATTCATTCATTATTATTGTTAAAATGCTGTCATATATTCATTATTTTATTGTAACTTACCTAGTAATGTTCCTTTTTTGGACTTATATACATTAAATGACCTGCTGTACCCTACTTGACACTCAAACTGGTAACATCCTTTATATTCCAGTCAATGAATGATTATAAAAGGAAATGGCGGCATCACAATTTTTGACTCTGGGACATTGTTTGGACTAATAAAGAGAAAAACATAAAAGTTCTCACTCCTAGGTGGTGAGCCACATGTGGGGGGTGCCTATTAGGTCAGTTTTTTGAGTCTTCACTTATGTCAGGAAAACTATCCCTCGGATAGACAAAATAATGTTCTATACAAAAATTTTTTTTTATATTATATATTGTTTTTATTTATTTAGAAATATAATAATCTGTCACGTGGACAATAATTATAGTGATATATTCACATCTAATATACAGAAAATATAAAATTAACAAAAGTAAAATAATAAGCAAAAACTATTTACAATAAAAAATAAAATAACCTAAAGATAACTAAATTAAAAACATAAAAACACAGTCATACCTATATACAATGTATACAATCAGGCAGAGAACCCTAAGCCAGGCTTCTTCCTTCAGCTATAGAAAGAAAAGCGGGACTCCAAGAGATCTCTGCGCTACTCTCTCAATCACGTCACTGATGCTAAAGCCAGTGGAGTTTGAGCGAGAGCGCTTTAGCCACATACACTCATGTCTTGAGTGGAGAATCTGGCCATTGCTAGAACTCCAAGATATATACTACTAAAGATCTCTGGACCACTGCCACTTCAACCTTCAGGGAGGATTGTAGGGATGAATGGAGCTAGATAGGGATTGTGCTAGAGGATTTGGATGATTTATAAGGTTCTGATGGAATTAGGAAAATTTTTCAGGGATAAGGTCAAGGACAAATGGGATATTGAAGTCATGATGTAGGATTTTGTTGTTTACACAGAACGGAGCATCGACTATTGTTCGGAGAACTTTGGACTGAAAAGATTAGATGCGTTTGATATTAGAAAATTTTGCTGTCCCTCAAAGTTCAAGTCCGTAGGTCCAAATAGGTTTCAGGATTGTCTTCTAGATCAATAATTTGTTGTCAATTGAAAGTTGAGATTTTCTAGTCAGTCGTCTGTATAATTGGCGGTATCGTCGGTTAAGTTCTTGTCTTTTAAGTCTAGTATGTGGGTTCCACGTTAGTCTTCAGTTTAAGAGAAAGCCAAGATACTGGACTGGACTATAATGGGAAGTCTATAATAACAATAATAAAATGAATAATAATAATAATAATAAAATATAAGGCTAATAATAATAATAGGCTTAACGATAATAATAAAAGGCTTAGCGATTCCGAAGGTTTGATGTCGATACCACCAATCTCTGTCTACACACCTACCTTCACTGGTGGAGGTAGGCAGTGGTCCAGTCCCTTCCGTTTGGGCTCAATGCAATCTTTCCGCCTTCGCTTCGGTCTACCCCTTGGATGTTTACCAGTTGGCACAGCAAATATTAACCTTTTAGGAATTCTTTCGTTACTAAGTCCAACAATTTTACAAGCCCATTCTATTCACCACGATAAAATCAGTTATATTAACTGGATACAATTCTTGCAATCTGGTGTGTAACAGTCTGAACTCTGCAGTTAACTCATCCTACTTCGGTCCGAATAATCTACGTAATACTTTATTTTCAAAAACCTTAAGATGTTGTTCATCTTGCCCATTTCGCATTCATAAATAACCGTAGGTAGGATAATGCTTTTATACATTCTAAGTTTTAAGTTCCCGAACTGGAGGCACGAGCTAAGTAATTTTGTCACAGAAAAATAACAAGCATTTCCCGCCTTCAGCCTAACCTTAATCTCCTCTACAATTTCGTTTTTTCTAGTTATCGTAGACTCTAGATACCTAAACTTCTCTTGTTGACCATTGCATTATAAAGGAAGGGTCCAGGGTGGCGATCATAAATACGCTAAATAGTGGCAAAACTATTTTATTAAAAGCCAACGTTTCGACCCGACTTTGTAGGTCTTCTTCAGGGCTAGAACAGATAAGATACAAAAAGATATAGAGAATTGTGGAAGTTACATAATATTAAGACAAAAAAATATAAACAATGTAAATAAGCTTATTAAAATTATACACAACAAGTATATTAAAGTATAAACAGAGTAAGCTAAGTAACAAGGTCCTAATTAAATATTGGAATACAAGACCATACATTGCAGAACTAATTTAGAAGTATATAATAATTATAAGATGTAATAACTAAGTTATTTTTCACTTATAAGATTTAAAATGTATCTATATGTTAAAAAAAAAATGCAGTTTTTATCTACTTTATGATTAATAGGATTCAGTTCCATGTGAATGTGGATGGATTCAGAAATGAATCTTTTTTCATGGTTAGGGGCCGTGGCAAGAATAGAGGTTTTTTCAAAATCAAATGAGTGGTTGAGGTTTAAGGCATGTTCTGATAGTTTGGAGGCGGAAGGGTTCCGGGAAGTTATGGATATTTTATGTTGGGAAATGCGGGTTTTGAGATGGTTTTTGGTTTCGTCAATATAGGAGCTATTACAATTAGGAGTAAAGCAAGGTATCCAGTAAACTACATTAGATCAGTGTTGTAAAAGTATGGAATCTTTTAATTGGTGAAAGGAAAGTTTGTTATGGGACTTAAGGCCAAGACATAAGTTGGTTATAGTCGATTTAAGGAAGTTTTGTATATTATCTGAGAGAATAGGAATATAGGGGAGAGATTTGTATATGAAAGGAGTGGTAGGTGATTGTGGGGAGTTGAGAGAAGGAGAGGTTATACTCTTTTTGGTTGTATAGCAGTTTAAAAGTTTAAGTATAATGTTGAGAGGGAAATTATTGGAAAGGAGTATATTTTTGACATGCTGAGTGTTGGCTTGGTGATATTGTAGAGGAGATAAAGAGAGGGATCAGTGAATACGGTTTTTGCTAGTATTGATTTTTTGGTGATATGGGTGCTGAGAATAAAAGTTGAGTAGTCTGCCTCAGTAAGTGGGTTTAGTATACCAGTCAGTAGAAACATAGCCGTCAATGGTTTTTATTATTAGGAGGTCTAAGAAGGGGAGTGAATTGTTAACTTCTTTCTCTATAGTGAAATGAAGACGAGGTGGTAAGAGTTGAATGAGGAAAGAATTTGAGGAATGCTGTCAGGGTTAAGAAAGAAGACCTGCAAAGTCGGGTCGAAATCTTGGTTTTTAATAAAATAGTTTTGCCACTATTTAGCCTATTTATAACTGCCATCCCGGACCATCTCTTTCCTTTATATTAACTTTTATATTGATATTACCATAATTATCACCATTTTGCTGCTAACTATATATTTCGTCTTATCCGTGTTTATTTCGAGCCCTACTTCCTTACCGGCTTTCATTAACGTCGTCGTATTTAGTTTTATAGTGATCATATCTTCTCTTAATAGGACCAAATCATCATCCTTAAGCAGGCTCATTACGGGTGGCGGATATGGAGATGGTCGGTGGAAATTTCTTGGGTAGTTCCTCCCAGCTAAGTCCGATGGACTCGCTGGCCTGAGAAGAGTTCTCTATACTTGCTGGTTAGGATTGAATGCCCTAGTCACATATCTTTAGTTTACCATACACTGCAAATAGTCATGGAAAATCTGAAGGGTTTTTTAATTCCTGAAACTAATTATGTAGTAAATAAATGAAGAACTTTTGAAATAGTTGATGTAGTTATAGTTTTTATTTTAATTCTGTTACTGTTAGGTTTTTTAAGTTTCTTCAATAAGCCCATAACATAAAACAGTCAACATCGACGACTAACTAAAGCTGTAGTTTACTAATTACATTGCATTTTAATGTAAATTATTTCGTTATTGTGTTTAGATTAATGAAATCAATCAATTACCACTTTCTCAACACTATTTATTTATTTATTTAAATTTAGGTCTAATTACTTTTAAATTTTATTATAAATGACTGTATGTTTATTATTGATGTAACGTTTTAGGTAATGACCAAAGATGTAGCCCGAGGATTGTTCGGATTCGCTACCTGGTGGACTTGCTTTGCCATGTTTGCCTCCTCATCTATTGGCCTTTTGTACCAAACATATTTCAGAAATGTTGCATAAACATATATTTGTTGATTGGATTGGAAAAGGTATACTCCATATAAAGATCTAAGATGCCCTTATAAAACAAACTGGATACAAGGTACTTTTAGAAAGTATCAGTAAATATCCACCATCAGTAATAACTTTTTTAAATTATTATTATTGATATTTATTTATTTTGGAAACAATACTTTTATCTCATTAACAATTTTATAATTATTTGATCATTGTTCTTAAATGTTAATGAGTTAACATCACGAAATTATATTTACCAAAGATAACTCTCCATTGGTTTGAGAGTTACTATTCCTATTAGAGTGAATAGCCTGTAGTTTGCAAAAAGTAGTGTTAAGAAATAGTTTTCTATCAAAAATTGTTTTTATGATTTAAATATTTACATATATTAAAAGCACTTTGTAAATATTTAAGATACTATCTACTGATTATTTTGGTGATCATGATAATCAAGAATGATGTTGAAAATTGTATATTATAATGTTAAAATTTTTATGCATTTTAATATATTTTGTTTTTGTTTTACTTTTCTTAAAAAGAATTATTATCACCTTTATAAAGTAGTTATCTTTAAAAAAAGAATGACCTTTGTTGTAATTATGTTCTTAACCAAGAATGTTAGTATTGAAAGCAAATTATCAAGCCCAAATGTTTCCTAGCTTTAGATTTAATCTACATATTATGACTTATGTAATGCCCCCATCCTACAATTCTTAATTAATCAGTAATTCATTTCCAGTAACTGAATGAGAGACAGGTGTGAACTTTATTCATGTCATCTAATCCTCCAAATTGTTTGTTTGTAATTTTTAATTTATGAGTAAGTACGCATTAGAAAAACTGTCCCTCAGAAAGCTACAAAATTAGAGAAATGTCCAACATTTATTATGAAGTAATACTGTAAATAGCAATACTCTTCTTCTAATGTTATTCGGATTTCATTGCTCTGCCTTCAAGATTATATAGGAAACCAAATGTATAAGAAAAGATAATAGAGGATTATCACTAATCATCAATATCTTACATTTAATTATTTAAACAATATTTGTACATTGTACATCATGCTTTTGCATGAAGCTATTCTTTACAGATCATTTTAAAGCTTTCGCTATAAACTTTTACTGATTGATCAATAAGTAGCACTTTTTTTTTTTGTTAACTTTGAGAACATTAATTTAACTAAATCACTAGATATCTCATCATACCTACAACCAACATTTGGCACCTTTTCTCCCCTTTTGAATTATAATTTATTTAAGTAAATCACACCACCATTCAATTTGATAATTGTTTGGAAGTTATATGTTTTAATGGATATATGATTTAATAATTCTAATATTGTTGAAATAAATAGTATTACTTCTTGTTCGTATTTTTATCAGTATCTATGAAAAATTTATTCAATTGTTTTATAATAGAAATATACTCAAGTTTTTATTATAGTGTATATTTAAAGTATTTTAAAGTAATTCAATACTGTAGCATTATAAAAACCTTCTAAAAACCATCCTTAATAATTCAATATTGGAAATTTATTAGTACTTAGGTAGATGAACTGTTCAATAGTTTGTGTTGGTTAAAATGTGTTTTAACAAAATTTGTTAATATTTTAACAAAACATGAAATTTTTGTCAGTATTATTATGATTGTAAATGTTACTTAATTTTTTTTTTTATCTGTCCACTATGTATAGAAATTATTCATAATTTTATCATTTCATATTTTTAAAAATTCTCCTGACTCTGTTATATTAATTCACTGAATTTTTTTTATGTTTAATTAATCAAAATTATATATGGTATTTAAGAAATCAATTATTTTTAGTTATTTTCTTATAAATTTTAATAAAATAATCTGGTTGCTGATTATGAATTTATTATGTTACAGTTATTGTTTTCTCTTTGAAGGATTGTTCTTAAGTGTGTGGTTGTTAGTAATAATTGTTATCAGGCATTTCCAGTTTGTGTTAATGTATTGTTTTAATTTGGCTGATCATATTCATAGCAGAGATTGTTATTTCTTATTCAATAGAAGTGATTTAAATTGTCTTGCATATTTTTGTTTCTATGTTATATGTAAGTAAAATAATGATGTATTTGTATTTTTTTTATATGTTTTTGGAGTTTTACATTTTGTATATAAATTGAAATATTTGTTAGTTCTAAACCTGCCTAAAAAAAAAATCAAAAATCCTAGAGCAGGGTTTGTTGACCTGAAGTTTATGGAACCCTCAAGGTCCATGGAATGTCAAGGTCCACAGATTTTGCAAAAGGAGACATAGATTAGTCCATTCTTAATCTTTTTTTTTTTTAATTTATTGTTTTATAAGTACTTTTAATTTTGACCTGAACAATTTTTTTTATTTCTATTTTAAAATTTAATTACTTATGGTTTCTTGTTATAAATTGGTACTTAGCTCCTAAAATGGAATGTGAAAGGGATCTATTGTACAAAAAAGGTTATGGACCTGTTAAATTAGAGTGAAATTCATTTTTGTTGAGAACTTTATTTTATTTATTTTTTGCTTTTAGATAAATTTCATTTTTAAAATATATATACATATATATTTTATGAAATATGCCTTCCAAAAGTATAGATAGTATCTAGTTACTCTACTTCATATTGGAGTGTGAAAAATTGGCATCTTTTATTGTGATGTTATCTTTGTAAAAAACTTAAAAATTATTATTTATTATAAATAAAGATTTCTAGTCACAAATTTTCCTTTGTTATCAATCATCCTTTTTTCCAAACTTTTTGTCTACCTTTAAACAGACATTTGTGCAGTGCTCTTCTATATTATTGTTAAAAAATGACAGATATCCAGGTAACCGAAATCAAGTATAGTAGTTCCACATTTATATAGATATGGATATGCCCTATCCAAAACCCATCCATATTTTAAAGATTTTTTTTTTTGTATTTATGATAATTAATTTCTGACATTAGCATTATTTTATTGTTTTAAATTTCATTGTATGGGTTGAAAAGGCTATTCTGCAGATATATTGCTAACAGAAACGGCTAAGCATTATATGAGCCTTTCAGTTGATAGAACAATTAACTCCAATTTCAATATGTTTGGTAAAAGTAAGTTCAGTGATATTTCTAGTTCGAAAATTTATAATACCTGTACAGACAGTAAGTAAGTTGATTCCAGAGTAGGTGACTATAGTGTTGAAATGTAGAACTGTGAATAAAGGTTTAAATTTTCCCAATAGAAATATCACTAAAATTAATAATAAGAATGTTGAAATTAGAGTTAGACATTCTGTCAACTGAAAAGCTCATATAAGAAAAAGTTAAAAAAATAAAAATAAATGAATTTCTGATTACACTTTCAGAATAAAATAACACCATCTTACATACGTATAGTCAGATTCATTTATATACTTAGATGAATATTTATATGTGTTGGCACATTTCTCTTTAAAAATTAAATAATTATCAAGAATGTTTTATTTAATGATCTTTTATAGCCTTAGCCACTTATAGGTTTTATTCTTGTTATTAAATTTAGAAAAGCCATTGTTGATTCACTAGTAATATTTAAGTTTAGTGTATATTAAAAAAACTTTCAATCTTTGTGTTTCAATCAACATTTGTGTTTTAAGTTGTAGAAACAGAAATGTAGTTAAGACTTCACTTTATAAATAATAATAAAAACACTCATTGGTCACATTTATTCTACTTTATTTTTTTTTCTCTGCTCCAACCTTTCAGCCATTAGGTCATTATCAAGAGCAGAAACCTATTTTTAAAATTAAATTAAATTCATATGGCCTGAATCGTCCTTGTCTCTATAACTTAATAGTCTAATACAGTTTTAGGACCATTAAGTTAAAGTGGCAAGGGCAATTCAACAAATATAAATTTAATTTAATTTTTAAAGTAGGCTTCTTTCTTTGACAATGGCCTAAGGGCTGAAATGGTGTAGAAAAAATAAATAAATTTTACAATGAGTGTTTTTATTATTACTATGAAAAATAAGTTTGCATTGGTCAATTTAGTATAAATAATTTGGGAATAATTATTTTATTATCGATTTAGTTAATTTGTTTGTTATTCCTGCAGAATTGTATCCTGTTATTGTTGTTTGAGTAAGTCGATACATTTTTATGATTTTTATATATATAGGATATACCAAATTTAAGGTGTTTGTCTTGAAGTCACTAGAATTAAAAACTATATATATATGTATACTGCAATATACTATACTTATCCTAATTCTCACTCAAAGAAAAATTATGCTTAAAATTCCTTAAATAATTGAAATACATTAAATTCCTTAGGGCCTAATAATAAAATTAAAACCTGCATCAAAGACTTAAGGCTATTTAAATACATATTCCCTGTTTTTGCAAATTACTAATTATAATTAAAGTATTTTTTAAATGATTTGTAAGGTTCATTTAATTTTTATCAAGTAAAATAGTACTCAAGAAACTGTCCTACTTCATCTTTTCCACATTTGTATAATTATTATTAGAGTATTTTATAATAGATTTGCAAATTTTTGGAGTCACCCTGGCGATATTTCTAGGACAACTAAGCCAAGGCCAAACTGTCAAGTGTTCTAACAGGTACAGGTACCTACCCCTGGGTCCAATACATTGATGACAGTTATGTAACCAGCCTACCTCAGCTTCACATTTCATGATAGTGGCTCTGCTGAACTTGCCTTTTGATTGTGTTATTTTTGCTATAATGAAACTATAAATATTTCATTTAATCATAAAAAGTGGTTATAATAACATATAGTGAGTAAACCATTATATTATTATGTCCATGCCTCATTATAATAAAATCATCATTCAGTTAGTGAGGATGCTTAATTGAAATGTGAATTTATTGATAAATTTACATTAGCATTGAAATTTTATAAAAAAAATATATTTGTGATAAAAAATGATCTTTTAAATTAATTAAAATTATAGTTTTATTTCAAATGATAAAATTAATCAATATTTTATTTCAATATATTTAAATTATTGTTATTTTTAATTTGCAACACACCAGAGTGAAAATGGATGACGGATTAGCATTCTGTTGGCAAAATGTCTCGCTTTATATGACAATAAAAAAGAAGAAACTCTTTGGAAAGACAGAAACAAGAAGATTAAAATTATTGAATAATGGTAAATCTTTTATATATTTCATTATAGATTAAAATATCGTTAGCATGTTACTAACCCGCTCCATTGGTACATTTTTTTTTTTCAAAATTATCTTCGGTAAGCTTTCTGTTCTTTGCACCACCGTGTTTATGTTCATTTTATCATTCTTTTTTTCTTTTTGCTGAACCCCATTTTAAAAATTTAATCATTTGTTATGGATGGAAATTCATTGAACAATATAACAAATTAACTAAACGATATGTACTATTTTTCTATATAGTTTAATATAATAAAACAATGATGAAATTTTATAAAAATGAAAATTATGATAAAAATAAAAGACAAAGAAAGGTAAAGAATATCGCAATATATAGATAGTTCTCATGGTTCATTGTGACAACAAAGTAATTTGATAGCTGTTAAAAAAAAAAGTTTTAATTTTGTAAACTTAATTATAAGAAGTAGATAATATTTTTATAAATCAAGAATTAAATATTGAAGATGGAACTGAAATATAGTTTTTAAGTAAATTATTACATTAATTAAAATAATAAATATATTATACATTTTAATGTAATTTTGTTACATAATGTATACAATACACTACAGTGAACTTTGCTGAAGATGAGACTTGTTGACAACAAAATGTTGAAACAAATAGTAAAAATCATTCTTATTAAAGAGTGAATTAGGAAGCATTGTTATCACTTATACCAAATACTATTTTTTATTTAGTTGCCTAATTTAATTTTTGAAGTGAAGCAAATATCAAATAAAAAAAATGGTTTTGATATATTGCCTGGAATAAAAAAATATTTGTAAATTTCTCATTACTAAATATTTTTTTAATAAACATTTAAAACTTTAGTTGTTATTTTTAATTAGTTGAATTAAATTGGATTGAACAGCTAATACAGTACCATAGCAGAAAACTTATTTTGTATGGAAGAGTGGTATTTTCTCAAAATATAAAAGAAAATGTGCATAATATTTTCCTTATAATTAAAAATAGTTTCTATTTAATTATAATGTTTACAGTGAGCGGTATTGTTAAATCAGGATGCATTTCTGCTGTCATGGGGCCAAGGTATGATTTTACTTATTGTTTTATTTTTTATCAAGCACTGTTTATTGGTTGATATTATCTATACTCTTAAATTACTATAAATCTTCAAAAATCCATTAGCGAATTTTGGCTAAAAGAAAAAGTTGATCTGTTAAACAGATTTTTGCCCAAAAGTCAGGAGTTTTTTATTGCTACAACTTCTCAAAACATTAAATTATGTGATACTTCAAGACATGGAAAGCTTATTTGTTCTGGCAAAACAAGATTTTTCAATATATGAGATTATTTAGTAAAATAACTTCTGGAATATCCCTCAACTCACCATGACTATTGAATGAATAACATGATTCCTTTTTAGCTAGTTTATTGCTTTCTTTCTTGCGAATTGAAATTTTTAACATACATTTTAATTGATTTTTTCAGAAACATCACATGTATAATTTGTATCAGTTTAGCTCGTGTTTATAGACATACTTTTAATACAATAAAATACATTATATAAACAGTTTAAAGATTCATTGTTTCTGACATATTCTTTTTATAGTAATTTATTTATGATAATTTTAGTATAAATAATTTTGTGTTAAATAATCGATTAGTTTATATCAATGCTAATGCAAATATAAAGAAAAGTTTTATTTATTTGCTGATTATTATAATAAAATAATTAAATAGCAGCTCCTATTTTCCAGTTCGGCTCTCTCCCATACGAAATTAAACAAGTTAAAAACATGTAATCATGCTACAACAACTACAAAATTTGATATAATTACAACAAATCTTTTAATTTTCATTATTTTAATCTTTATTTTTAAAATTATTTAATTGAATGCTTGTTTTAAATAGTGGAGCTGGAAAAACTACTCTTCTTGCTGCATTAAGCCAAAGATCCAAAGGTATGTAAATGATCAATTCCTTTGTGGTTTCTTGAACATTATTTTCTAATAATTGAATGACTGATATTTTTAATTATAAAAATACATTATTCATCAATTAATTGTATCTTGTTAAAATATCATTTAATGTTATTTGAAACTATTATTAGATTTTGTCATGAAATGTTACTTTTAAGGATAGCTTTCAAAATTCTTTGGTACCTTATAATATTTTTTTAACATTTTTTTGTACATCAGGCAGATAAAACTGACCTTGGCATGTTAAACAACTGCCTGTCATACTTAGTGAATATTTTGCATTAGTTCTTTTGATTTTTTTATTTCATTAATTTAATGTTTTTCTTTTCGTTTTTTATTTATGTTGTTTATTAAATAATGAATAAAATAAATAAATTTTAAATATATTCATAGGTACTCTTAAAGGTGAAGTTCATCTCAATGGTCGACCAGTAGACAAGGAGTTAATGTTGAAAATGTGCGGATTTGTACCTCAACGTGATTTAGCCATTGAGACGCTGACTGTCAGAGAGCACTTAAATTTCATGGTAGTTTCTATTATTTATTTATAAAAATCTTAGAACACCGATAGTTTGCGCTTAAACATCAGTCTTTATCTTATCTATTATATGATAATATAATTTTTTAATTTTTAGGCAACATTAAAAATGGATAGAAGAGTTTCTGCTTCTCAAAGAAACAGAATAGTTCATTCATTGATACAGGATCTCGGTCTGTCCAATTGTGTGAATAGCAGACTTTGTAATCTTTCTGGTGGCGAACGACGACGTGTTAGTCTTTCTGTTCAGGTAAAACTAGCCACATATAAACATCTGAAATTAATTCTTTTTTTTTTTTTTTTTTGCATGCATATAACATTATTCTGAATAAAATATCTTTATATTTTTTAGTATATGATGTTTTCTAATCTTCTTAAATGAGATCTTGGTTATATGATCCCATATGGTTGAATTGGAAACCTATTTATTAAGAGCTAAACAAAATCACCTTAAGTACGTGGAGGAATATAGTCTTTAGGATTATAAGTTCACCAAAAGATGGCACAGTAAAGTGTTGAAATTTAATTTTAGGAATTCTCACTGCTCAGAAAATATTCATGATACAAGGTTGTCTTGGCAGAGTCTGCACCCACTGCTTATATCTGTTAAGATAAATTTTATTTCATTATTCTATTCTTCCGGAAGAATGTTTTTTGAATATCATTGTGCTGAGGACTTATTATTATTCCTGCTTCACTATTCTCTTACATTCTATTGAAATATCATACCTTCTCAGCTGTTTAAAGTGATTTAACATTTTAGTTAAATTATGTTTAATCATTTTGGAGTGTTAATATTCAAAATATTCTTTTTGTCCGTGTGCTCCTACAAATTTCTAATTCAGTCAAGAAGGATAACATTCCTAAATTTTGGCATTAGGAACAAAACATGCAAGTAATGTTAAAATATTGACAAAAAGCAGTGTAGCGATCACTGAGCTGTTGTTCCCGATAGGTTCACACTACAAAGACTCTGAATATACCAGACCAAATCATCTACTTTTACCCATCTCTCTTTCTTTATCACTGGCTGTATTGTGAAACTTTAAAACCGATTTTACTGAATATAATATCTTCAAATTCTTATTTCATTCAAAGATCCATCCACTTATAAATTTATGGAATTATAACATTTACAAGTGTTTATCATTAAAATTAAAATTATTTATGAAACAGTCTTTTATTATAAATGTTCCTTTTTATGTTTTAGTTGATCACAGATCCTCCATTACTGATCTGCGACGAACCTACAACTGGTCTTGACAGTTATACTGCTGCTTCAGTTGTTACACTTCTTCGTCAACTTGCAGCAAGAGGTAATTTTAGAAAGAGGTTATCAGATTTATTTAGAAATCTCTGAGATAATAGTTTTATCCCTAGTAAAATTTTAGTGTTCTATTTAATAATAAAAGTAACCTAGTACCTAAGTATTTAGGACATTAGTAACATGAGGACAAACATAATGGTAATGGAACTGACTCTCCAAGACTTAAAATTGATAATAATACTAATAATAATTATAAATTTAATAAATATCTAAACTATTTATTCACTTATCAAGGCGGTAACTAATGACTCAAAGTTTTTCTACATCCATTGATTCATCCTTACCAATAAACCGGGCCTCATGCTTTTATATAAAATGGATCAGAAAGTCATTTCTTAGAATGTTTGCTTAGACATTTTTTATAATTTTTAATGGATCTTCTTATTTTTATTGATAAATAAAATTTATTTATACAGTTTTTAATTCATGGCTCACCAAAACTGACATGGTAGCAGAGATGGGTAAATGCTACTCCGAGTACTGAGTACCAAGTATTTTACTCAAATACTGACCTTTTGAATTTGAATAAAATATTTGGTACTCGGTGCTCAGAGTAGCATTTGCCCATCTCTGCATGGTAGTAAAACTTGATTAATTTCAACAATAAAATCCATCAATGTGATCCGTCTCTTTACTTCATAGCAAAGATTCTTTAACACTCTGAACTGTTAACACTAATTTTATGGTTTATAGGAAAAGCCATTCTGGCATCAATCCATCAACCAGCATCAGGAATATTTGAGTTGTTTGATACAGTTTCCTTGCTTGTTCCTGGCGGGCGTCTTGCCTACTTTGGAGAAGTTAATGATGCAAAAAAATATTTTTCACAGTAAGTATTTAGAAACATAAAATATGTTGTATTTTTGATTTTTATTATTTAAAAAATAATAAATTTTTAGAATGGGCCTTTCTTGTCCAGCATCATACAACACTGCAGAATTTGTTTTGACACAACTGAATACCATTCCAGATAAACTTTGTGAGAAATATGTCACTACTAATACTTTCATCCAGCTCCATAAGGATATTGAATATGTTAAAAAAAATACCATGAACGTTAATCTTGTATTCGGAGTGAGTTCTCTTATGTTATTATTTTTTTAATTTTTATATTTATATTAGTCCAAAAGAAATTATTTTATTAGTAAATTATTAAAATTTATGCATCATTAAACTATTAAAATTAATTTTTAGATGGAAGAGAAGTTCCTGAAATTTTATTCAGTGTAAGTTTAAAATTTTTTTAATACTTAATTATAAATTATTTTTAAGAAGCATAGCTAAATATTAGTTTATATTTTATTATTTATTCCTGTTAGACAACCTGCTTCTCTTCTAACCCAACTGAAGTGGCTATTTTGGAGATCTGCTATAGACTTATACAGAGATTCACACAAAGCTTTTCTTCGCCTCTTCATGTATATAGTGAGTGTTACTCAATCTTATTTGTTCCAATATTATCCTTTGTAATTCCCGTCTGATGGTTTGTTTCTTATAATTTTATTCAGAATATTTTATTTTATTTTTTATGAATTATTTTACTATTTCTAGACTTTACTCTTCAAGTTTCATCAATTCTTCATGACCTAAGCCATCTTTCTGACTGTAACTCTGTATTTTTATTCTAAATATTTGGCTCTTATTATCTTCATTTTCCATAGGTGATTAGTTTTTATGTTTAAACTTAAAAGGTACCATATTTAACCTGTCACATAAAAGTGACTCTATGATGTATTAAAACAGTTTAAAGTCACATTTTAAAATTTTTAGGATACATGAAAAAACTAGGAGTGTTGGAATTTTGAACCATGCATAAAATAAATTATAGGATTTAGAAATTTCGAGAATTGTAATTTTTTGTCAATACCAAACATCCACTAATCTCTGAACAAGATATAAAGAGATGATGAAAATTCTAATTTTTATATTTCAAACATGAGTTACAAAAAATTAACTTTTCTTATTTTTTTCATATGCCCTTCAACTATATATTTTTATATCATTTTGTTATTCATTTAGCAGTTTACTCATCTTATTTTTAAATTTTACATTTTAGTGCACTGGAATACTTGTCTCATCACCTTATATGGGAACAGAAATTAATCAAGAAGGTATTCAGAATCTTCAAGGTCTGCATTATTCTGTAATCACTGAAACAGTTTTTTCGCATTCATATGGTGTGATGCACACCTTCCCAATTGAGATTCCTGTATTGCTTAGAGAAGTTCGAGATGGGGTGTATAGACCATTTTCTTACTATTTAGCTAAAATATTTTTCCTAGTGAGTAAATGTTCTCCCTTTATCTTATTTTTAAAATCTTATCAATAATAAAATTTAAAAGGCAAAAATATTTTTCTTATAACTCTAATCCATAAAACGACTCTTACAGATTCCTAGGACCATTTTGGAAACTATGTTCTTTTGTTGGGTAGTGTTCATGATTGCAGGAGTAAATGATAGCGTGGAAGGATATTTTAATCTATGTCTTCCTGTAATTGCTTGTGCCATTTGTTCTACTGCTTATGGTAATTATATGATTATAATATTATTTTAAACATACTTTACTTACATTTAGTTGGTGTACTATAACCATTTTCAATACTTTTTTGGTTTTGATTTTTTCACATCTATATATTGATAATAAATATAATAATGCTTTATTTATTCTGTGACAAGTCCCTTTAGAATAATGATGATGCAGAGACGGAGATGTCGGCTTTGGATCCTCAGAGAATAATCATAAAATAAACAGATTTATATAATGAATAAATAAAAGAAAAGTGTATTATTTACCTTCAAATTTCAATTAAGAAAAAAAAATGAAATATAAATATTTGCAACATCTATTTACAATTTTACGAGAACTGAACGGATAAGAGGTGATGGAACAGATGAGATTTAAAGGTGGGGAGGGTACTGGAGCGACTGATGTAGGATGGGAGAGAATTCCATAGGGATGAAGATTGAAAAATGAAAGATCTGTTGTAAGCAGCGATTCTGTGGGCTCTTGTATAGAAATCTGAAGACCGGGAACGGGTTTAGTGGTAATGGACATAGGATTTCAATTGGAGTTGCTCGAAGATGTATAAAGGATGGCAGGATTGGATAACTAGGAAGAGGAAGGATGCTAGGAAATACTTACTTCGGTAGGAAGGATAAAGCCATTTCAGCTCTTCATAATAATGGAAAACAGAGGCTTATCCTTTTATATATATATGCTTATACATTCAATAAATCTATGAATTATTAAAAAATGAAATCATATGTCACCATATTTATCTTTAAAAGGAAAGTGAGATTCCTTAAAAAAAAAAAAACAGAAACGACATAACGTTCACAATATGGTATTTTGTTCAGCAGTGCATGAGGGATACCTTGTTTAAATTACAGCATGCACTTTGAAAAATATTACCAATGAGGATGGATTTTTCTGCAATAAAACCTTAAATATCAAGATGGCGAATGAGGAAAAATAATTTGTATTAAAATTTATCGAAAACTTCAGAAGTGATTATGACTTTAAGATTAGAATAATGAACTTTGCATGAATGTAATAAAGATTAAACAATGATTTATTGATTTGGAAAATGGACACCAATGGATTTGAAAATCAATTTAAAAGTCTTTGCTCACGCTTTTCCCAAGAGTACCAGAAGGTTATGAAGAAAAAGAGTGGCACTAGACAAGTTCATGTATATATATATATATATATATATATATATATATATATATATATAATATATATATATATATATATATATATATATATATATATATATATTCTTCATGTTTCACTTATGGGTATCTATCATTCTTTATTTACGATTTTTAAAATAGCCTTATGCCCAAAAGGTTTCTTCAATTTTACTGTATATTCTTGTAACCAAATAAGCCATATAAATTCCAGCAAGCAGAATGTTCTCATCGCATGTGTTCACAACATGACCAAAATTCAACAACTTGGAGGTTGTGCTATTGGTATTGCATACAATGATAAATTCAAATGATTTTAAATGTGACAAACAAAAATTTAATGGAAAAATGAAGATGGGCAGACTTAGTGTAAAATCAAACTCATGTTCCCATAGTTCTCAAATATAGATTATGTATAGATTACTGTTATCGTTTCTTATAAAATTGTTTCCTACTATTGTTCTATTATAGCCATGAAAATATTTTTTTAATTCTACATAGATATTCTTTTATTTTTTAGGATATTGTATTTCAGCAATGTTTGAAAGTATAAGTATGGGGTCTTTACTCTCTGTCCCAATTGATTTTCTATCATACACTTTCAGTGGTATCTTCTTACAGTTAAGGTAATATCAATGGACTGTTATTTGTTGTATATAATGGTTTAAATCATTGACCACGAATTAAATTGTATTGTTATTTCCAGTACTGTGCCAGTGTATTTATCTTGGGTAAAATACATATCTCGATTTTATTACGGATTAGAAGCCCTCTCTATAGTTCACTGGAAGGGGGTGAAAGATATCCGTAAGCAGTTATTTTACTTTTTCAAAATATAATTTAATTAATTCCTATAATTGTCCTATTCCATGTTAATACATTAGATAGTAGCCCATTGATTTCTATGTTTATTTCATTTATATTTTATTTTTAATTGATTCCTATTGGAAATTTTGTTAACAAGTGAAATTTTTAGTATTTTACTGAGTAAAGATTAGAATATTTAATTTTCAGAAGAGAAAAACTCCTTTTTTTAAAGCTTCTTTAAATTTAAAACTTATAACAAAAATTTGGTAAAATTTGGTCTCATTTATATATATATATATTTATATATATATATATATATATATATATATATATATATATATATATGTATATGTATATGTAATGTGTATATTTAATGTAAAGTTAACTAATCATGAATTTGAACTTGATATAAAAACTTATTTTACTATTTGATAGATGACAAAATAAACAAATTTATAATATTGGATTAATAGTCGACTGTCGTGAATATAATGAAGAGAAGTTGGTTGATAAGCAGTCACAAGTAAAAATAAATAAGAAATGTTTATTTTTGACCAAGGTTCTGGCCTTCATCAGGGTTATGTTCTCACGAAGGGCTCCTCTTCTCGTGGAGGAGGCTATCGTAAGAACACAGCCCTGATAAAGGCCTGAACATTAGGCCGAAACGTCAGAAAAAATAAAAATAAATAAATGTATATTTGTGTGTGATACTTAAAAAATTAAAAATGATTTTCATGTGAAAACCTAAAGACCAACGGAAAATGATTTTTTTTACCCAAAATATCATAAGTTTTTAAAACATAATAATATTTGAAATAAAATACAAAATTATATTTATTCTTGCCAATTTTGAAAAACAGAGCAGAACATAAGTAATAATAAAGTAAATTAATTGTCTACTTTCACAAATATTACAGATGAAATATGAATAAAAAAGGTGAGAAATAAAGGAATGGACATTTAATTAATTGCTTTGAAACATTGAAGGGCGTGATTACAATAATTTTGATTGGATGATTTCGGTTACAGTGATTTGATTACATGATTACATAATTTCAATCTTAATCAGGTTCCCGATTACGATAGTAATCAGGTAATCGTGTCACACTTTTGCTATATTGTATCAAGCATTAAATTGGTGTGGTCATCAGTTTTGATTACATAATCATTAATTCTGATTTAGTCCATTTCTGCTTTGAAAAAATAATTTAAGTATTTATTACAAATATTAATTTACTACTAATTATCATTTTAATAGTCATTCACCATTAGTATATTTCTATTGTCTTGTTTTGGTGTTTTTTAAACTCTTTTCCCATTTATAGATAGACATTACAGTGATTTAGAAAACAGCAATGTCATCTAGTTTTAATATTTGTTTATAGTTTGTGAAAAAACAATATAATTATTTATTTTATATTTATGGACTTTATATACCAATTTCTTAAATTTTATCTTTCAGCTTGTTCTCCTAATAAGGATTTACCTTGCATATCCAGTGGAGAAGAAGTTCTGCGTCAATACGGTTACCATAGTTCAAATATAAGTATGGACATGATTGGTCTTTTTGTTTTATTTTTTTGTTTACATGTGATTGGATACATTTTTATCAGAAAGAGGAGCAAGAAATGCAGTGCTTATTAATATATTTGAATAAATGAATATTTATGTACAGATTATGTAAATTATATCTTGTAAGAATGGAAACTTTTAATTTTAATTTTAAAAAATAAGTTACTAATTTATGGCAATCTATAAAGATCAATAAAATACATGAAAATGTAAGGCCAACAGGGAATATCAATACATTATGTTATATTTTATTGTAAAGTGTTATAAACCCATAATTTTTCAATAAAGGAATTTTCCTTTTTATGAAATACATTTTTATTAATTATCCTTAATAAAATCTACTCAAATAGATGAAGTTATAGTGAATTTGTACTCACGTTTGTATGCACATTTCTTAACTTGATTACCAAAACTTTCCTCCCCTCTCCATCTAAATAACATTGTGACCTTTTTACATGACATCCAATTACTAACCATGTAGCGATTGTAGTAATGAACATGATTCGTTTCAAGTCTCATTTTAATTTTAAAGAACAGATTGCTACAAACTCATCCAACTAATCACTAATCTGTCTTAATTTACTTTGGAAATTCACTTCCAGGACTAAATTCTGTAGGATCCTGGAGATTACATATATGTATCCATAGTTTAAAGCCATTGCGAATAAGCATCTTCCATACAGCCTCCATAAGTTTAACTTTTAAGAAAATTATTATTTGTAGATTCAGAAATTAAAAACGAATTTTCCTAGTTATTAAAGAATGTATGAGCTCTCTTTTCTAATAGATTAGCTTAGATTTTACGTAAAGACCCATCACATTTTAATTATAAATATTTGTATTATTATTGTTTTATCAGTATAAGTTTTTCTATCATTTATCATACTTTTGGAATTCCATCTTACTTGTTTTATTTCGCTACATTTATCAGTTTTTATCACATCCTTCTTATTGCAGGTATTACTTAAAATTTGTTGCTTATTATTTTAGCATTCCAGATTACTCATTTATCTGATGAATTTAACACAAAGGTGGTATAAATTGTGTAATTTTGTCATCAAATATCATTCAATGTTTTTATATAGGCTCAATTTCTAAGACAAAATTTTATTAAGTGCTTCTCTTTGACCTGTCTGAAAAAAATAAAATCTTCTTATGTTTTCAAGATATGTTGTTATATCTAAATATGTAGTACTTCAAGGTCTTTCTATATGGGTGGAAGTAAATTGTTAAATCAATCTACTTCTCTCTGGGAAAAAGAGAAATTGCTCCAGGGAGGCTGTTGGAATAGAGAAGTTGATAAAAGACGAAGATTGAATTAATAGAAATAAAAAGAAGAACAAGCTCTGTACACAAGTAAAAGAAAAAAAAAAGTAAATTGTTTTAAATGCAGCAGTTAGAGTGCAGGGTGGCCGAGTGAGCCAATGTGTTGTGTAGAACACCAGTCACATGGCAAAAAGATAAACTGAAGATTACAAGTTCAAATCCAATTGTTAGGAAGTGTTTAAGCTCTAGCATTAATCCCTCACCCTCTGCCAGGCCCAGGAAAACCCTGCATAGCCCAAAAGGCGAGGAAGAGAATAAAACAAAAAGAAAAAATGCAGCAGTTGCTAAGCATATAACATCCCACAGCTGCAAGTACCCATATTGTCTAAAAAGGAGGATAGATTTAAAAATATATAAGTGTGAATGTGATCTATGAGCACTATTATAAATGTCCTTGATACAGATTGTAATATTTTTCAATAAATAAGCTATAAGCTAATATATATATATATATATATATATATATATATATATATATATATATATATATATATATATATATATATATATAAATTGTATGCCTCAGCACTTCCACGAATAGCTGACAAATTTTGAATCCCTAAGTAGTTATAATTATTTTAACATCTGGAAATAATAATTTCTGCTTGATAACTTGTATTTGAAGGTTTAAACAAAAAGGAAAAGGAATTAATCAGAAAGTGAAGAAATAGAAAAAAAAAAGAGATAGAAATAGCTTTGTTTTCAAGAACATTATAAATTCTCGTAACACACACTGACGACCATAAAAACCAGTGAACCTTGAGTTTCGTCGTTATTTCTTTCCCAACAGAAGAAAATCTACAAATTTTTTTTACTATAATATAACGTGAAATATTCTGTTTTTAGGAGACCACAAATAAAGAGCAATATAACAAAAAATCTTTTAAAACAATCTGTGTTATAAAATAAATCAAACTCTTTCAAACAATAATAAAACACCTTATTTTTTTTTTTAATTTCGTGCAATCAGGGTCTCTAATACCTGGCGTCGCTTTCCTTTGCTTGGAAAACGGCCTGTACTCTCGTAGGCATACTACGGATAAGGTTAGCTATTCGATCTTAAGGAATTCGATCCCATTCACATACCAAGGCAATCCTGAGCTCTTGAAGGTCACTTGGACGGTTCTGTTGTCGATGTATGGACGTACCAAGCTGGTTCCAAAGATGCTCAATAGGATTGAGGTCCAGGCTGCGTGCTGGCCACTCCAAGGTGTGGGCACCAACCTCGCCTAGGTAGTCCAGTACAACATTCGCGATATGCGGCCGCGCATTATTTTGCATAAAAAGGCTAAAAGGCACCACATATTCTTCGAGGATGTTAATGATGTAGGTGTGTGCATTGAGCTTGAGCCGAAGGAACACGTTGAGGTCAATCTTTGCCTGTAAACTTATTCCACCCCATCTCCGATCCTCTTCCGAATTGCACTCTTTCCGCTATATTGCACTGATCATATTGCTCACCAGGCCTTCTCTACAGTGGAAGTCGTCCGTTTGCACCAAAAAGGCTAAAACTGGAATCGCCGGAAAACAGAATAGAGGCCCAATCATCTACTGTCCAGGCGGCGTGTTCATTACAAAAGTAAAGCCGAGCTGTTCGGTGTGCTGCGGTGAGTTGAGAGCCGGATGTGGGGACCCTAAATCTGCACCCCGAGTAATACGCAGTCGATGAGAAATCTCAACCGAAGTCTGGAAGCGGTTTCTGATAGTCTGTATCGCAATGAAGTGGTCATCAGCTGGACCTGTCGTTTTTGGACGGCCTGATCCTGCCTCCTTGAGTAGCTTCCTGTCTCCCAGTACCTCTGGACTGCCCGACGAACCGTTGTTTCAGGCAGCTGCTACACTCTGGCCGCTTATCGCTGGCTTCGACCGTCTTCAATCAACATAATAATCCGAGTAACTACCACGGCATCCAAAAATTTTTGGGAAAAAGAAATATTGTTTTCAAGAAAAAAAAATCAATGCGATAGAGTAGACAACTGGAAACAAAATGATTTAATGTCCACCTTTATCTTAATACTTTTATCGTTAAAACTATAGAGAATCGTGAAATTTTCTCGATTGCATTAATGCATGGTAATCACATTTGATCTGTCTTACACATGTTATTACTTCAGACTCAAAAATATTTCTTTAATCTGCTTTTTTAACATAAAATTCAAGGTGCACCGGTTGTTTCGACCGCCAGTTTATTTGTGCTTAAGTGAATGGAAGCAATTCATTATGCGTTCCTGAGACCGGAAAAACAACTCCACCACGTTATTTTTTTAGAGACGCTTCGGCCATCAGGCTTCATCAGTTGGTCTGGAAGAGTTTAGGAGAGCTGTTTTTCTAGTGGTAAAGTAATTTTTTCGATTTCACGAATATTTTATAAATTTTTTATATTTTTGATTTATTATTTTCTTCTATAGAAATCGAACAAATAATCCTTGTTCGATAAAAAATAAATAGATTAGCTTTATTGAATCTACTAAATAATCAAGCATGTATATGACGGATTGTAATCTGATTCTATTTCTTTGTTTTATATTTATTTATTTATTCCATAAGCTGACGAGTTTAGAGAGAAAAAATATTGTATTAAAGGAGGTGAAAACAGTTATTAAAATGGAACTATAAAAATTTTACTTTTTATTTAAAATAATTGTACAGTAAAATTAATTTATTTTCAATTTTTAATTGAATAAAAAATCCTTATGTAGAATCAGTTTAAAAAAAATAAATAAAATAAATGCATTTACCGTAATAAATAAAAGTGCATTATTGGATTCATTACGCGTTTTACCTCGATTTTCATAAAAATCGCTTGGCTTTCACTTTGGAAATACGCTACTCAGTGATAGTTTACTATGTATCATTATTGTTTGTAATATTATTTTCTCTGAGTTAAAATGCGCTTATTAACTATATTATTGATCGCTATGATAATCGTTTTCAGCAATGAAGTTTCAAGCCAACATAAATTCCCGATTTTTCGTTGTTGAAGATGCGTTTAGGTATTTCACAAACTATGGCAAACAATTATCTAACATAAGCGAGACTAGGACTAAGCCCAACTTTTTGGTTTATTATTTTCAATAATCAACCATTGTGATCGACCAAAAAATTCAAAAACTTAACCCCCTCTCAAAATTTGAGGTATCACGTTTCACGATGCGTAGAATTCGATAATCGAATAAAAATTTGTTTGACCGTCCGCGCTTTTTCTCCGAAACTACTGGACCGATTTTTTTTTTTAATTTGGATATATAATCAGAGGTCACCCAAGGATGATTTCCTTTCATCGACATTACTATCCGCCTTTTACTTTCAAAATGGCGGCCGAAAAACCTGCGTTGCTATAGACTGTAGCTCCTACCAATTTCAATGAAACTTCGATAGTCATTTTCTCGACGCCCTTTAAATTTATCTATATAACATAATTCAACGAAAAGAAACTGGAAAAAAGTTACGAGGGATGATAAAATTAAATTCCGAATAACTCAAACAGTTTACACTTTTTGTAGGTAGTATGATAAGATGTTTCAAAGGTATTTAAATTTCCTAAAAAATGAAGGAAGTTTCATCGAAATCAAAGCACTATTAGTAGAGATATCGCGAATTTTTTTCTTGTTACCGACAGCAGATGTAAAATAACAACAAGAAATAAAAACACTGGCGTAGGGAAACAAATATTTGTATTTCTCACAGTTTTCGGAAATGTCTAAACGCACCTCAACATCTTTGGTTTTAGAACAACTAAAGTTTCGTTAATTTATGTCTAATTATAGCTACACACATTTTCAGAGATTGAAATGACATAAAGGATTAATTATAATATTGCGATTTTTGTAAGGACATAATATAATTATTATTGGTCAAAAGCAGGATGTTGCTCTAGATGATACATTTTAAAACATGAATTAGAAAATTGACGATGGAGCACATTATTATTATTAATTTTAAGCCTTGCATCCACAAGAGTATTGGGATTGCAGTAACGAA